TAAAGATGGCATCAAATCTAGTGTGTGTACTAAAAGCATCAGTGTTTTAAAACAGTTTCTCTATCAGATCAACCACTATCATGGGGTGACAGTCAAAGAATCTTGTAAAGCAAGTTCAGTGACATCAAATGTTTGGGAAACTGAGGGATGTTACAGTCACAACATCGCAAGGGTGCACTTTGTTCCACGAGATCACATGTTTGCAGTGAGTTGGCCAAGCATTTGTGTGCAATCGTAAAGTTTGTTTGTGGACGGATCTGCCGTATGTGTTTTTGTCATCCGTGGACTGACACCTGTACACATGGTGACCTTTCCCCTCTCGCTCCACTGCCCTCACGACTGCATCAGTGCACTTTCTAATGAGCTCAGCGCAGGTCCAAGTTCAGCGCTGATGGTGTGGGGGAGGGTTAGCAGCCCCACTGCAGCTGATTAGCTTGGCTTACCTCTGCCCTAAATATAGATGGTTACTCCAGGGACTGCAGTGGAGTGGCAGTTTGGGCATTAGAGAGGCCGTACTGCAGTGAGCTAATGTACTTCACCTGTTGTATGGGAAATATTTTATGGCGGCAACTGAGGCACTAGCAACGTCCTTGTCTATTGTTAAGCCATTTCTTGGCTCGCATGAGGCTTGTAAGCTCAATCGTGTAATGGCACTGTTGTCATTGAAGTGCTTTCAGTGTTTTTTTTACATTTGCTGGAGATATAAAGGTTTATTATAGTAAACTAAAACCATAAAGACATTTTTGTACTTTAAATATTAACTGAAAATAAAATGTACAAAAACCTATAATTTTATGAAATTTCTCCATGACAAATTGTCCACCAGAAATAGCTTTCATTTAGGTTTAACTTGATGCATTAAAATGAGTAACAAAAAAAAAAACTAAGATGCCAAAAACACAATTAATTTGAATGTTATTTTAATATATTTATGATGTTATATACATGAGGGCTTTGTTCTAGATTTGATGTGTGTGTATGTATGTATGTATGTGTGTGTGTGTGTATATATATATATAT